GTTACAACCAGGGCACTCGGTCGTTTAATCCGCAATAGGAGGCAGGAGGGATGGTTTGTGGATGAGAGAGCCCAGGGTGGTTAGGGACCAGGAGGTCTGCTCTGCCGGAGTAGGCAGGGTCACTTCAATTGGTTGAATTAGACCGGTAGGATAGGTTAGATTCTCTGTTGTTGTTTTTACCCTGGAGACGTAGACCAATCCAGAGGCTATTTTGTAGAAGGAATTGTGATTTGGCCCTTGGGTGTAGCTAGTTAGTTTGGTAATACTGCGTATTGGTTGGCTCTGCTAAGTGTTGTTGGGGTAATTCCACAAACCGCGACTGGTCAATGGTCCCAGACTGAATTGTGTTTTTTCCGGGTTGTTTGTGAGGATTCCCGGCCTCATGGTTTATATTTTTTATTTTTTGGGGAAAAAGTAAGGAATGCATTATCATAAGAACATGAGGCCGAGAATTCCTCACAAACAACCCGGAAAAGGATATGTCACCGCTGGGACTATTACCCAAAGTAGGTATGTGGGTTTCACCCCAACAACACGTGGCGTTTGCCAAAACACAAGGGTCCGGTAGGGCGAGTTCCACCGGAGAACAACCAAAACAAAACATGAAAACTCAACTCAGGCAAACAAAAGGGGAAAACAAAAAATCACAAAAGGGAACGAAGGTGGCTACTCTAAAGTAGACCTACTTGCAGAATAACCGGGGTAATACCCCCTCATTAACCTGACTAATCCGTCAGGTTGGAGCCAAGTCCTCCTACACTTGAGCACTCTCTGTCCTCTCAATCCCTGTTACTTCCTACTGCGGAACTTTCAACCGAGTACACCTAGTTGGTACTACCCTGTCTCCCACCTAACCTTTTAGTAACAAGTCGCCATAAACTAGCGTTCTGTCCCCCTTAATTGTCACCAAGCTCCCTCTTTGGCCCATGTGCCTGCAAGCCATCTTCTGCCCTGCCGAATGTTTGAATCTCTCAGAACCTTACTTCTCCAGTCTGCAGCAATTGCATTCCGTATTTGCAGCTTAAACATGTTTGTCTGTCCCTTGTCAGTTGCGTCCTCTGAGTTGAATACTAGCTTGTTTGACCTGACCAGATAACAGCGAAGCCAATCGCCCGTGCCACCTGGGCAATGTAACCCCATCCTTCATCTAGTTGGAGGTTTTGTGGGATTCCTCCCAATAGGACCCACAATTTATCCCACTGGAAGGCGTTACCCGACACTCCTTCCCATATCTTCGTCCACCATCTCCATATTCGGGCAGAAGTCGGACAGTCCCACCATAGGTGAACTGGCGACTCATAGGCCCATTGACATCTTTTGCAAGTAGTGTCTATATTCATTCCCCTTTCCTTGAGCCATATAGCTGATGGGGTAGCGAGTAGAGAAAGGAGTCATGGTGTGACTGCTAATCTTTGGGCAGGCATCAGATACAACTGTTTCCAACATCGAAGTACAACTTGGATGACGAGTTCTGGTTCCACCTGGAGAACCTTCACCCATCTGTCTACTGCCACCATTTGTGGTGATCCTGATAAAACTTGCAGTTTGTAACCCAGTTCCACTGAGTAATCCAGTACTGATAGGTCCGCTTCTTCTAATCCTCTTCCCCTCCATGTTCTCTGTAAGGGATCTATTTTACATTTCGCAATTGGTTTGTTGCCACCCCACAGAGTAGCCGTCCAGTCTCCTTCCTCGTTGCAAAGTTCCTTTACTTTTATCTGAGACAGGACTGCTGGAGGTCTGGTGGGTCGTTCCTCCTCCTCAATCAGCTCCAAACGGTTGGGGTTCGCTGCTCCACTTGTTTGCCATACTTCAAAGTTCTTGCATCCTTCCCCATTGTAGCTAGTTAACTTCCAGTACTCTCTTGAATCTAGAGAATCTACGTACCAGGTTCCTGACGAATCCAAGCTACCAGGTTCTAGGATGATCTTCCACTGTTCTGGGATAGCCTGTAAGACTGTTTCCAGTTTCTCATTCACCTGCCTGTGATTCTCCAACCCCAACTCACTTTCTTTCAACCAATCTTTGCTGAACTCATTCCAAATGTCTCTTACTCGGACCACCCCCTTCTCTATCCAAGCTCTACCGAAACTGCCCGCTTTCCTATTTGTTGTCAACCACCTTCCTTCCTTATCCTTGATTAGTGGATTTTCAAATAAAATTTGCATTAAGACCTCTTCTTTCGTTACCGGCTCCGTGCAACTGTCTGGTTTGGTCTTCTTCCATGCTTTCAAAATTCATGTCCAAAGCTCTGATTTGACCGGCCTCCGCAGGTAAGAGTTAATCCATATACATGCCCAGACATCCTCCTTCCTACTCAGGCGCCAGCTGTCCGCCAGTAGGTTCTCTGCCAACATTACCCAGTGCATATCCTTATTCCCCTCTAACGCCTTGGGGACCCAGGCTGCCAACATGGCCATATTTTGCTTGCCCTGGTCTTTTAACCCCAACCCCCCTTCTTGCCTGCTGTTACACATTGTGTCCCAAGCAACTTTTGAAATGAAGCCCTCTGTCTCCAATCCATAGGGCTTCCAAATGAATCTGGCCGCCCTCCTTCTTACTACCTTTCTGGCCTTTAAGCCCAGAGACCGCACTTTCCCTACGTACGAGAGAAGAGCGAAGAGAGCCAAATTAACCACAAGAGCTCGTCCCATGAGCGTGAGGTGGGGGGCTTTCCCCCATATGGACATTCTGTTCATAACTCGCTGTTGCAGAAGTTCATCTTGCTCCGCCGCGCATGACAGTAATGATACCTAGACACCCAAAAAACGTTCAGACTGATTGATACCAATCCTTTCATCCCCCACTGCACCTTCAGTCCATACGGCTTCGGGAGTAGGAACGCGGACTTTGCCCAGTTAATGGATGCCTCAGATAGTTCTTCGTACTCTCTCAGGCATGCTCTTAGTGCTGACAAGGAGGACTCTGAGTTTTCCACCACTGCGAACAGGTCATCGGCAAATGCTTTGACTCTGCAGTCTCTGCCACCTGTCGGGAGGCCCTGAATTCTCATATCAGTTCGGATATTGCACATCACAGTTTCCAGCTGCAGCACAAAAAGTGAAGGAGCAAGCGGGCATCCTTGCCTCAGTGATCTCGATAACCTGAAGTTCTTTGAGATGTGACCATTAATCATTACCAAAGCCGTGGAGAGAGAGTACATCCCTCTGACCCAGTTACAGAAGCATTCTCCGAACCCCAACACCCTCAGTGTGGTCAAGACATATGACCAGTTTACCCGGTCATATGCTTTTTCCATGTCCAGCAGCAGAATTGCGTAGTCCTGGTTGTTCTCCTGTACCGTCTCCATTGCTTTGATCGCGGTAATAATGTTAACAAAGATGGACCTTCCTCTGACGAACGCCGCTTGGTCGTCCAACACCAATTCTGGCAGATATCTCCCCAGGCGTCTGGCCAACACTTTGGCCAGAATCTTATAGGCTACATTCAAGAGTGAGATTGACCTCCAATTTCGGATCTTACTCTTGTCACATTTTTTGAACAATATGGAGATGATACCGTTGCAGGCGTTTTTTGGCAGTTTTCCTCCTCGCAGCATACTGTTGAAGATCTTCACTAGGTCTTCTCCAAGAACGTGCCAGAACATCGAGTAGAACTCGACCGGTAGGCAGTCGTCACCCGGCGCCTTTCCTTTCGCCATTGCTGCTAATGTGACCTTGGCTTCCTCTACCGTTACTGGGCGATCAATGTCCAATCTTCCTCTCACCGGCAGCCTTATCTTCATGTTGTGTCAGTGGTTGCTTCCTTCCGAGAAATCAGCTTCCGGGCCTTCCTCCGGTCTTCTAGATGTTAAGATATCATGGAAGTAGTAGGCGGTGTACTCACACAATTCCTCCGGTTGAGTTGCTCTTGGCTCCGAATCGCAGAATGGGTGGGTCAGTTCTTTCATTGGCTGCATTGTTCTCCAAGGTAACAACCGCTGGAATGAATCCTTGGACATCCGATCATAGACTATGATATTCTTCACCTTCAGTCTCTCTGTCCACACCTCTGCCTTTGTTGTTTGTAGCCTATCCCACTCTTCCAATCTTTTCTGCCTTGAAGTTTCCTTCCCCCATGCCGCTTCAGAAATCGGATGTTCCCTCATTCTCTTCTCTGCGTATTCCACCCTCTTCTTGCATGCTCTCTCTTCCTTGTTCCGTTCCTGGGCTGCAACCTTGGAGAATACATTTACTAAGTTTGACATGATCTTAGTCTCAATCTCCCACCAATCTGCTATTGAGTTGAACTGTTCTTTCTTGGCCGACCACCTTTCCCAGTACCCGCATACCCATTCTCGGAGGTTCGCATCTAACAGATTTTCTGTGTTTAGCCGAAAGTAACCCTTCCCCCGACTGAGATTCTCTCCTATACAGAATTCCGCCACTATTGGGTTATGGTCAGATAGCGGGATGCTTGGACAGTCGATCAACACTAAGGAATTCAGCCCTACCTCGTTTATGAGCAAAAAATCTAACCTTTTGCCTCGTCCCTGATGTGAGTACCATGAGTATCCTTGATCTGATGGGCGGAGAACCCTGTACGGATCGTGCAAACTAAAGTCTGTCATAAAATCTGACATTAGTAGCATGTCTTTTGCAGGGTCTCTTCTCCCTATTCCCTTTTCGTCATCTAGTGATAGGTTTCAGTCACCTACTATGACCAAGTTGTTTACATCAGGTAAGTTATACGGTAGGTCCTGCAGAAAAGCTCTTTGCTCCCTACTTCGAACTGGAGCGTATACCGTAGATATGGCCCAATCCTCCTGTCCTATCCTCAGCTTCACCCATGCCCATCTCCCCCACAGGTCAAAATAGTGGTCCACTATTTCTGCCTCGATTGCTATGTGCGACAATATTGCTACCCCGCCTGAAGAGCCTCTCGCCGAGGACCAAACTTGCGGTCCATCCCACCATGAACCCAGTCTACTGATTTTTTCCTCTGATAACTTAGTCTCTTGAATACACATGATTGAAATATTTTCCTCGTGCATCCATTTCTTCAACCTTGAATTTTTGTTCCTTCCTCCGGTGTATCCCAGCCCACAGACGTTTCGAGAAGCGATCTTAATTTTAACCATCTCCCCTTAGGCCTCCATTGAATTGGATGTGAGGAGCTCCCGTGTTGCTGCGGCTCGCCCCTCTTCCCAGGTCCTCCGCGTCCCATGGGAGTGTGAGGGCGACTCTCACGAACTGTGAATCGAGATGCTTGTCCTTGTGAAAGTGAATCTTTAGCTCTGCTAGGCATTCCACCGACAGTCGTGTGGCAATCATGATCTTCCCTAATTCCAACTTTTTGCCTTCGGCGAACCACGCCATCGGAACCAACCTCAACCGTCTTTGCTCCAGATTCCCCATATCATCAGAGGTCATTCTGGCGTCGATTAGTGGCACAAAAATCTTAATCTTGTTGCCATTCACTTCCGTGATTATCCTGGCCATCGGGCAGTCCGCCACCACCCGCGTGGCAAAGTACTTCAGGTATAGGTTTTCCACCACCTGAGCAACGATCTGAGGGGTTGGCGCATCTGCAACTTGCCGCAATAGGATTAACGGAGGTCCCGTTGTTGACTGCCAGATAATCACCCAGAAGGCATTCCGGACTGCAATACAAACCAGTGGGATGACCAGTTGCTCGATTCCTGCGCCTTGTCCCCTGCTTAGTGACGTCACTCTCCTATCCCTTGTGGTCTTTTGACCTGGCGTACCTGTTGAAGTAAGCTGCTCATTGGGGTTCGACAGGGAGTCCCCGGAGGCTTCCGTATGGAGTTCCTTCACCGAGGACATGCTCAGCCGACGTTGTTTGCCCGCGTGTCGAGCCGTATGTTGCGAGCCTTCCGATACCCTTGAGGTTGACGCTTCTTGCGCTGCTGCTCCTTGGCCGTGTACGTCTCTTCCTTGACTCGACCCCTCCCTTCGACCTGGTTGTGGTGATGCTCCCAGTGTTTGCTGACTCCCTGATGCTTGGCGGCCTGTACCTCCCGCTCCTACCCCTCTTCCATCTCCTCCCATTTGATGCGCCCTTGGGTCCGGATTACCTAATCCGGGATGATACGTTTGAAAGGTCGACGGTATGCCCTGAGCAGGTTGACCAAACATGTGGAGGCCTCCGCCGCCCAATGAGAACGCGTTCGATTGTTGTGCATTCGGTTGAAAATTGGGGTACTGCCAATTACTCCCCTGCACGGGGGCTCCTGCTTGCATGGCAACCCCATGTAGAGCCGCCATCATCTGCGCCCAGTTCTGCATGGACAAGCTTGCGTTGAGTTGCCCTCCCGGTGAGTATATTGGGTTTACAACTGCGTTCAGGAATCCTGTTTGTGCCTGGCTTGCTCCTGGCACGTTCCAGGATGATTGTGGCCCGAGCGGTCCTTGATATCGAGGACCTCTACTTTCTTGTTGCCTTGTGTTGGACTGTGTCTGTGTTGGCTGTTGGTTTGCATTATTTGCTCCACCTCTTGGTTCTCTGCTCTGCACACCTCCATTCCTTTTGCAATCCGCCTCCGTATGAAAGAATTGTTTGCAGATTCGACATCTTATCGCCGTGAAGCATGCCAAACGGACTTCCAATTTATCCCCCTTTGACGTGGCAATCCATAGCCTATCCTTCATGTTGTTTTTTGCCGCAGGATCCAAGTCGAATTTAGCGTTGACCAACGCTGGTCTTTCCGAATCTGCATCTGGAGGAAAAGCCCGTTCTATCTTGCCGATCGCACGTTCGATCTGCACATAGATGAACGGCATGTCATCCAGCGGAACTTGCACTACGATCACCCAGAATGTTCTGTCGTTTTCCTGGTTCCTCAGCTCCTTGAATTCTGCCCTCGTCATCCAGGGCTTGAATTGAACTTAGCTTACGTTTGCCTGTCTCGTAGGGATCTCCACGCCTCGTTCGCTCAACATAAACTTCGCCACTTCCTTGGACTTTGCCACGTACGACAGAGCATTGGGACCTTCAATCTTGACCCGTCCTCTTTTGGATTCTCCTGGGAAGCGTTCGCTTCCGAAGATCCATCCGTCTTCAAAAGCACGAATGGTGTCATCCTTGATTTTCCTTGATAAAAACCTTGCATTCTCTTTGAAGATCACTGATACTGTTCGCTCCTTCAGCCACTTGATTTTAATTTCGTCGAGCGATGTATTGAGAGTGAACTTGACTTCTCTGCCTTGTACCTCCATTTCTCCCGGATCCAGGTCCGTGGGGTAAACTCCATCGTCAAAACATAAGGTCAGCAAGATCTGATTCGCTCCTCGTCCGCCCAATAGTTCGTTGGTTCCGATGGCCCTGGTGGAGGAGATCTTGTGTTCGCCCTATCTGCGCCTGGTTCCTCTTCCATTCTTAACGATTTCCTTCTTACATTGGTCTCTTTCGATCTGCACCTCGCCTCTTCTTCCACTTAACACGCCTAGTGTGTCTTATCTCACTTTATTCTTGTCTTCTTTGGTCTTCTTTGGTGCTGGAGCAGCAGTAATCCGAACTCGGCTGCAAGGTTGCATAGTTAACCTTCCATAGCCGCTTATCCCCCTCCGGGAAAAGAGTCCGTAGTCCCGAGGTGCTATCGCGATGGTAGTGCCTCGGTCGACCGTGGGCCGAAAATTTGCGGAGCGAATTCGCGTCCGGTAACGATGAGCGGAGTGCCTTGCACCGGCCGCAGCGTTCGACTCCGACCCCTCAACACTGCTGACTCAATGTTTTTTTTTCTGATCGGCCTCATGGTTTATATGGGGCTACGACGTCCCGACCACCACGGACTCCCCCCTGTTTATCAATCGATGTATTCCAATCCCCAGCAAGGATAAGGTGATCGCAATCCGGGATAAACAAGGGGAGGTCAACAAAAAAATTGACTCGTGCGGATACGTCAGTCGGAGCATAAATCGAAGCAATTACTCATTCCTGATTATCCACCCATAACTTAACCCAAACCCATTTTCCCCATAGGTCAGCACAAAAGTCTATTATTTCCATCTGCAGGTCCCTATGGATTAGGATGGCAACTCCCCCTCTCGAGCCCATCGCTGGCAACCAAATTTGTGGCCCATCCCACCATGTACCTAAACCAACAATCTTATCCTCTGCAAGTTTACTTTCTTGAACGCACGGGATATCGATTTTGTTGTGTGCATCCAACTTTTCAAACGACCTTTCTTATTCCTGCCTGATGAATCTCCTAAGCCACGAAGGTTCCACGTAGCCACTTTAAGCCTGCCCATCAGGGTCGATTACACCAGGAACTTGGATCTGGGAGCCATCCTCTGGATTGGTGGAGGGCCACGCTTCAGTTAAATAACGTTTCAAGAAGTGAGAGTCCAGTTTCTTTTCCCTGCCCAACTTCATATTCAGATCAGACAGGAATTCTGCCGAAATCGAGGGAGAAACCCTGAGCCTTCGCAGCTCGGGTTTCCTCCCTTCCGAGAGCCAGGACAGAGGAAACAGCCGAAAGCCTTCCTGTCCGAGCTGCTCCAACTAGTTGGGTAAGAAACGGGCGTCAAACAGGGGAACATAGATAGGACATCTCTTGCCTTCAATATCGACCAAAAGTCTCGGCATCAGGGCTTCCACGAGACGGATTGAAAATTTATCCCGTATCAGGGATTTGGCCATGGTGGTCGTGGCATAGGGCATAGGAGACTCGGGACAAATTGAGTTCAACAAGAGGGGTACACCCTCTATCCCAACCCAAGCGATGAACCAAAATCCATTCCTGACAGATGAGCAGAACAGTGGTAAGACCCTAGATTCGACCACAGCCTGACCCTTGGACGAGGCATCCATACGATAACGAGAGGATTTGCGATTACCTGCCGATAAAGGAATCGCCAGTGAACCAATTGAGCAGCCCGAGTTTTCAGTTTGCAAATCCACTTGGATATCCACATCTCCCTCACTCAATCCTTTTTTCTTACCTGAGGATTTGCCGCGTAGGCGGCTTCCACTGGCTCTTGGGAGACTCGCCCCTGAGGGCGATCTCATCTGCTGATGAAGGAAACCTTCGCGATTAGCTGGCAGACCACCTTGAGGGGGTGCTGAGGACACCCAAGGTGAGAAGGCGTGCAAATTCGACATCGAGGGGCTCATCCCCACTTGGCAGTGCATTGGTCCCATGCCAGCTTGTAGCCCTGCCATGAGTGGCTGGGGAAGACTCCTGAAATAGGCTGCCCACAAGGCGTCAACCGAGGGAATCTGTCCTTGTCTCTGACCTTGCGCTTGACCTCCTTGTTGCTGGGGCTGCCCTCCCGACGGGGAAAAGGTGGGATTGACCCTGAACACTGGCGACAAAGGAACATTCGAGGGGCCGATGCCAGATTGTATCACAGGCTGAGCGTTAGCTCCCGGGGCTTGCATGGCCCCATTATAACTTGGTATCGGATGTCGTGAGCCGGTCGTTGAAGCTTGAGGTTGATTAATATTGATTCCGCCTTGGTCGCGCCGACCGATACGTCAGCATGTCGTCTCCGTGTGGAAGAAGGAGCGGCATCTTCTGCACCAATCAGATTGAGGGTCCGCTAGCTTCACTTTCAGGATGTCCCCTTGACAGGTTTGCACAATAGAAAAATTCCCATGAGAAATGAAAGTTGAAAAACCATTCCATAAGGAAAAAAATCCTTCATATTTATAAATTATCATTCCAATGTTCGTGCAATTCTAAAATTTCTAATTTAATTTGATAAGTTTCCGTCTAAATATGAGTTTTCCCTTCCAACTACATCTATTTTTTCAAGATGGAATGGAAGTCTTGACGAGTTAATGAAATGTTTTAATTAGGCTTTCATTCTGCTACAACAAATATCGTCTAATTTAGATTGGATTAACTTATTTATGACTGAAAATCCTTACTTAGAATGGCAGCCCAATTAAAATATTTCATGAACTCATCCAGACTTTCATTCCATCTCTAACATGCAGTTCAAATAAGAAGGGATACACCATTCTTGGAAGGCAAGTTTTCAAGTAAGACGAAAATTTTTAAAATTGGAATGACATTTTTTAAGATGGAATGAAAATTTGGAATTTATAATATAATTTTACTCTAGAATGGTTATTTAATTCTGGGAATTTTTTCTATTGCACCGCAAACTTGTCCTTCATGTTACCCCTGCATGCGGGGTCAATGTCGAACCTCAAATTGACCAGTTTCGGATCGGTATCGTCCGCCTCAGGCTTGAGCTGCTTAATGATCTTCCCGATTGCTTTTTCGATGTGCACATGGATGAACGGCATTTCGTCCAACGGGATTCCAACCGCTACTACCCAGAACGCATTCTGATCCACTAACTGCCTCCAATCACGGATTTCGGCATGAGTCAACCACGGCTTAAACTCGGTGCGATAAGTGGTACCCGCCAAATCGATAAAGTCCGTCTTCTTCTGCAGCATCCAATCGGTAATTTCCTGAGCTCTAGGAACATAGGAAACCAC